TCTAGTCCCACCACCTTGAGACCGAAATCGACTTGCGGCTGTTGAGGGATGAAAGAGGGGGGGATGGCGGGCAGGACAAGGCAGGAGCGGATGGATGGATTGCAGGACAAGGGGATGAAGGGGGGAGAGAGAACAGCAGAGACGTATGGAAACGGGATCACAGAGCTCCCTGTTTTTTGTTCTTTTATTTTTTTTGGTTTTATGTGAAATAAAATGTGCACAATAGGAGTAAAGGGGAGGGTGATGTTAGATAATTGCGTTGTTGCACACTCAAAGCTGGGATGAGGCAGGGAAACAGGCATTGCATGATAGTGCGGGAAAAGGAACGCGAAAGAGGCATGAAAGAACATGAGAGAGGTGTGGAAGAGATGTGAAAGTGGTGTGATGTGAAAGTGGTAGGGGGGGGGGGGGTACCTTATCCATGAAGGAGACGGTGATGGTGGAGAAGCGGGGGTCACCTATTCATTGTTGAGATGAGATGAGGTGAAAGACTGACGTTTCCTCTTCCATGTGAAAGAGGCATGGAAGAGGTGGGGTGGGGGGTACCTTATCCATGAAGGAGACGGTCATGGTGGAGAAGCAGGGGAAAATGGGCATGAGCGGCTTGAGCGTGATGCGCGTCACTGCTGCCACCTGCAGGTCGGTGATCTGATGGGCAGGGCAGCACAGCACAGTCGAAAGGACAGGGGAAGGAGTGGGGAAGGAGAGAGGCAGAGAGTGACGGGAAAATGGGCACGAGCGGCTTGAGCGTGATGCGCGTGGTTGCAGCCACCTGTAGGTCGATAATCTGATGGGCAGGGCAGCACAGAGAGCAGCACCAAGCAGCACCGAACAGCACCGAACAGCACCGAACAGCACCGAACTGCACCGAACCGCACCATGCAGTGGAGGAAAGGAAACAGCGGCACCAACAGGGAACCCAACCCACCTGCACGGTACCAGTAAAGCCCTTGGCGGAGGCAGCGACAATAATGTTGTTGTTGGCCGCCCAGCGCAGTGCGGTCTGCAGGATGACCTCGTCATCCGTGGTGTCAAACGACTTGATGGCTGCGCGGGGGGAGGGGGGGGGGGGGGGAGGAGAGAACAGAGAGAGGGAGGGATGGACAACAAACGTGGGATGCAGGTGACCTGGCTCATAGAGGCAGAGCGGTCTGCAGGATGACCTCGTCGTCCGTTGTGTCAAACGACTTGATGGCTGCCATGGGAGGGGAGTTGAGGTAGGCAGGGGGGGGGGAGGGAGGGATGGTGGAGTAAGCTGAAGGGCGGAGGGACATTAGACCCCTAAAGGCAGTGCAGTCTGCAGGATGACCTCGTCATCCGTTGTGTCAAACGACTTGATGGCTAACATGGGGGGGGGGGGGGAGGGGGGGGGGGGGGGGGGGCAGAGAGAGAAGGGGAGCAAGGGAGCGATGAGCAGAAGCGCGGACTTCAGGCTCATAAGCACAGTGCAGTGCAGTGTGCAGAATGACCTCGCCGTCCGTTGTGTCAAACGACTTGATGGCTGCGATGGGGGGGGGCGGGGGATGAGGCAAGGAAGCGAGCAAGGGAGAGAGTGGGGGAGCGAAGGAACGAGGAGGGAGGTGGGGAGGAGGGGGGGGGAGGGAGGGAGGGGCAGCCAAGAGTAGGCAGGAAAAGGGAAAGCCGGAAAGGATGTGGTGGAAACGAGGGGAGGAGAACCAGCCTATGAATACGACGGATGAGAGCAACTGAGGAGGGGACTGGCAGAGAGCATGTCACAAAGAGCACGTAGCGGAAAGCATGTAGCAGAGAGAGCAAGTAGCAGAGGGAGCAAGTAGCAGAGAGAGCATGTAGCAGAGAGAGCATGCAGCAGACTGGCCGAGGACGGCGGGTGGGATTGTTCCCAGGTCCATCTCCTGGAATTCAAGGGTCTCAATGAACGCGGGCTGCTGCGAGCATGCAATTGACAGCAGCACGCACTAGAAAGCATGCAGCAGAGTGCCCGAATGAGACTGACCAAGGACGGCAGGCAGGATGGTTCCCAGGTCGATCTCCTGGAATTCAAGGGTCTCAATGAACGCGGGCTGCTGCGAGCATGCAATTGACAGCAGCACGCACTAGGAAGCATGAAGCAGAGTGCCCGAATGAGACTGACCAAGGACGGCAGGCGGGATGGTTCCCAGGTCGATCTCCTGGAATTCAAGGGTCTCAATGAACGCGGGCTGCTGCGAGCATGCAATTGACAGCAGCACGCACTAGAAAGCATGCAGCAGAGTGCCCGAATGAGACTGACCAAGGACGGCAGGCGGGATGGTTCCCAGGTCGATCTCCTGGAATTCAAGGGTCTCAATGAACGCGGGCTGCTGCGAGCATGCAATTGACAGCAGCACGCACTAGAAAGCATGAAGCAGAGTGCCCGAATGAGACTGACCAAGGACGGCGGGTGGGATGGTCCCCAGGTCGATCTCCTGGAATTCAAGAGTTTCGATGAATGCGGGCTGCTGGGCCTTGAGAATGGGCGTCCCAATCTCCCTGATCTGCTCGCTGATGGCCTGATGGGACGCACGGACACACGGAAACACAAGGTACACCGATGCATGGCGCATCGATTGAAAAGAATGTGAGATTAGAACAGAATGTGAGGTTAGAACAGAATGTGAGATTAGAAAAGAAGACGAGTGTTCTCGTGGATGCAACGCGGGCTGTTGGGCCTCGAGCATGGGCGTCCAAATCTCCCTGATCTGCTCGCTGATGGCCTCATAAATCACCTCGTTGCTGGAAATGGAATCACAGTTGAAAACATACTGTTGAAATAGGGCCAAATCTCGGCAATGGGCTCGTTCATGCAGTACACGCCACGCGCTGACTACTGAGTCGACTCAAAAGTCGGCCACATCTCGGCAATGGGCTTGTTCACGCAGTACACGCGCTAACTAATGAGTCGACTCAAAAGTCGGTGCGAGTGAAGGTACAGTTGGAAAATTACCTTGTTAAGGTAGGGCCACATCTCGGCGACGAGCTTGTTCATCCAGTCCACGTGCTGACTATTGAATCGACTCAAATGTCGGCGGTGCATTGGAAGTGAAGGCCACATCTTAGTGACGAGCTTGTTCATCCAGTCCACGCGTTCGAAGACCTTCGCCTCTGGCTCTTTGTGTGTGAAACAGGTAGCGCCTGCTCCTTCATTATAGCGTGTTCCTTTGTTAGTCGCATTGCATTTAGGGCACCGTTAGATTCTAACCTTGTTGAGGTAGGGCCACATCTCAGCGACGAGCTTGTTCATCCAGTCGACGCGTTCGTAGTCCGGGTTGCTGACCCACGGCGGCAGATACGAGTAGTACTCCTGCAGCTCCTCCTCCTTGAGCGTCGCGCCCTCGGGAATCAGCTCCTTCACCTCTGGCTCCTGCGACAAAGAAAAGAAGAAAGGAAGAAGAATAGAATCAGAACAAAGCAGAAGCGGAACCAGGCGCTTCAAAAGTCGTCGCGCCCTCCGGAATCAGCTCCTTCACCTCTGGCTCTTGCGGGAACGAAAAAGAACATAAAAACCCGGGGAAATAAAAACCTGGAAAATCAGGACCTCGGGAAAGAAGGAAAATAATGAAACCCGCGAATGTATGAAGAAACGCATGAAAATGCTGTTTGAGAGTGCGGTGAAAGATGATGCGACAAATTCTTTCGGTTTTGAATCGAGAGGAAGAAAAAATAACATGTGAGAGGGTTGATTGTTATAAACATTGACTCATGACAAGAAAATTATTTGGCGACTAAGACGCGTCGCAGAGCACACCAATCATCTGGGAACTTACCTCCACGGCGGTTGGGAGCTTATGAATGAAAATGAAGTAGCCAGCAACTAAGCCGCCGAGCAAACCAATCGTAAATCCGAGCGTCTGAAAAATGTAGTGAAATCCCTTCACGATGACGAGGTACAGAAGCCATCGAATCGGCAAGAAAATCAAGTAGATGGCGTACGATATGAATGCCATGTTGGTCCACGACAACAGGATAAGAACGAGGGAGCAGATACCACGCGAGCCAAGATTGGCGACGCGCAGTCGACGACTAAGGAATCAGGAAAAGCCGATGCGGAAACTAGGGATTCAGTGAAGCCACGAAAGATTCACGAGCGCCGATGGAAGAGCGTGGGAACCGGATGAGCAGAAGGGAAGCAGCAGGATGTAAAGGAATGTCAGGCCGCCATGACAGAAAGAGAAATGGATAAAGAAATAACATCTGCGAGTTCTGTAAGGACTGTGTCAACCGGGTTACCCAGCTAATAGTACAACCTCTTCTCAAATTGAAAACATTGGGGAGCCTCGACAGGAATTTGTGTCGTGCATGTTCGTGCAAGCTCGCCGGATCTCGCCTGGTCCTGATGAGAGGGTGCGCACAACTGTGGGTTGGAACTTCGACACCGCTGGTAGCCTGGTCAAGCTGCGGAGATCCCGAGGAAGGATCGACCAATTGAATTCTCGGCTCCCACAGGGATTGCGGGTCTGCTCCGCAGCTCCACCACATCATCATCAGCAGATTTTTGCTTTCTCTCTGCAAAACACAACGCTTTGTGTCCCCCAATATCCACCGCTGAGCTTCTCGTTAAGCGTGGTAACGAAAATGCAAAACACTTCAGTCTACATTCGAACTTCATGAAAGTCGAGCCTAAATTGCGCCAGATCTCTCCTAAATTCCATCACTTCCCTTGTCACTGACATTGGGATCTTCAGAGCGATCGAAGCAGATCAGTCTCACCTGTTCTCGTAGTTCTCTGTGTGCTGCCAGTTGGTTGCGCATCGCCAACGCCCTACAACAGTCCCTGGCAGCTCCCCTTGCCCAGCTCCGTGCGATTGTGATGCCGTGGGTTTAGACTCTTTTAATGTTTGCAGCCTCTCCGATCGTTGCGGCGTGGGTTTCGCGCTCCTAGAGGCTCTTAATTCTCAATCTAGCTATCGAATCTCTTGCAGCATATTTTTTATCTGTTGTCGCGGAAAGTCACAATCTAACGAGGGGAATTAGTGAAAAGCGAGGCTTGAACTTCGGCAGCCATGGCGCAAGAGGAGGAGATGAGTGCGCTGTTTCCGGTGTTCGCGTTATCAATCGTCGCGTTACTGGCCATACCGTGGACTCTGTTCCGCCTGATTGGTTTTTTCTCCTCTAAGAAGCAAACCCTGCACTGCCCGTGCTCGCAGTGCGACCGCGATCCGAAGAACCGTCCGACCATCTGGGCTCGCGTGAGTTATGCAATCTTGTGCGACGCTGTGCGACGTGACGCGATTGGATGCGTCGCGACGCGATCAGCTTCGTCTTGATGCATTTTTTGTGCGAAGAGTTCATGACACGGTGTTGTGCGATCCGGGTAACCAGGCATCCTGTGTTTCCAGACCCTGAATTCAATGCATACATTTTTGCTTCAATTGAAGAGACTGTCATTACCATGACAGGAAACCTGATGTTGTCAACCCTCGTCACGTTTCTCCCTCCCTTGCTCCAACGTATTCTTAGAATCGAGGTTCGAAATCCTTGTGATCCGAAGCGCGACACAATTCCCTTGTGGCTCGTCTTTCCAGGCGCCTCAAAACTCCCCTCACTTTTCTCTCTCCTCGGTTACGTTTCTCCCTCGCTCCATTGATTTCCTCGAAACAGGTGTCCAAGTTCCTGTCGATTCAGAACGTGTCGCTCCTCCTCATGTGGGTCGCATATTGAGGCGCCTCAAACCCCACTCACTTTTCTCTCTCCTCCTCATTTCTCTCCCTCCTTTGTCACAATGTTTGCCTCGAAACAGGTGTCCAAGTTCCTATCGATTCAGAACGTGTCGCTCATTCTCATGTGGGTCGCCATGGTCGCTCTCCTCTACTACATCAAAGTTCTCAACCGCGATGTACGTCCCCCTTTCACTCCTCTCCCTCTACACTTTTCTTTTCTCCATCCTATACTTCATCAAAGTTCTCAACCGAGATATACGTTACAAACTGATGTAGTAGGTTACATTTATGATATATTCCAGATTCCCTTTGCATAATGTGGTGTGATGTGTCATGATTTGATATCATTCCACATGTGTCCCTGTGTGTATGCATGCATGCAGGCACAGCCCTTCGAGCCATTCTCCATCCTGGGGCTAAGTCCTGGAGCATCAGATGACTTTTGACACATCTCAAAAGTCGTCTACGTACATTACATCATGAGGACGAGATATGGCATAATGTGATACTAATGGAAATTATATATGTCCGTGTGTGTGTGCATGCATGCAGGCACAGCCATTCGAGCCGTTCTCCATCCTGGGGCTAAGTCCAGGAGCATCAGATGCAGACATCAAGAAGGCCTACCGCAAGCTCTCCTTGCAGTACCACCCTGACAAGAACCCTGACCCAGGTAATGCCGTTTTTCTAGTAACCCTACCCAGGAAATCTCCTTGTGCAAGTAAACCGATGCAATCGAGTTTGACGACTTTATCTTCCACGTATCCCCCATGTGTGTGCTGCCAGCCGCCCACAAGTTCTTCGTGGATTACATCCCCAAGGTGTACCAGGCGCTGACGGACGAGGTGGCTGGTAGTGACGAGGGGTTTACTTGCTTATCACAACTCTTGTCCTGCCCTCCTCCCTATGCGTTTTCACCTCCACCACCAGACGCCCACAAGTTTTTCGTGGATTACATCTCCAAGGCGTACCAGGCACTGACGGACCAGGTGGCTGGTAGAGGCCTTGGGTTTACGTGCATATCCCGACTCTTGTCCTGCACTCCCCCCCCTTCCTTGTCCCCCACCAGCCGCCCACAAGTTCTTTGTGGATTACATCTCCAAGGCGTACCAGGCGCTGACGGACGAGGTGGCGAGGGGATGTCTGGCTTTTTCATCTCTCCCTCGTCTCTGTGCCCTCCTTCCCTTTCGTCCACCTGCCAGCCGCCCACAAGTTCTTTGTGGATTACATCTCCAAGGCATACCAGGCGCTCACGGACGAGGTGGCGAGGGCCAACTGGGAGAAGTACGGCCATCCCGACGGGCAGCAGGCCATGAACGTGGGCATCGCGCTTCCCAAATTCATGCTGGACATCCAGGGACCCAAGGTGGGTTGGGATGGGGCTTTCAGAGGCAGATGGGTGGCGCTCCCATGAGCAGCAGCAGGTGGGTGTTCCCAGGCTGGGCTGCACGTAGCGCTCTCACAAGCTGCGCCGTACCAGGCACTGACGGACGAGGTGGCGAGGGCCAACTGGGAGAAGTACAGCCATCCTTTTTTGAGGCGCATCAAAAATCGTCTCAGTTCACGCGGTTTTGGGGCGCCTCAAAAGCTGAGCCGTACCAGGCACTCACGGACGAGGTGGCGAGGGCCAACTGGGAGAAGTACGGCCACCCCGACGGGCAGCAGGCCATGAACGTGGGCATCGCGCTTCCCAAATTCATGCTCGACATTCAGGGACCCAAGGTGGGGCATAGGATAGGAGATGGGCATTACCTTGCTGCTGGAGGTAGGGCGAGCTGTAATGGGTAGGGTCGTTTGCGGGCAGCAGGCGATGAACGTGGAGTTCCCTCTGCCCTAGTTCATGCTCGACATTCAGGGGCTCAAGGTGGGGTGGGGCTCTAAAGCAAGGTGGGGCTTAGAAACAGTGCGGGTTATTAAGCTGCTCAAGGTGTGTTAATTGGGAGAAGTACGGCCACCCCGACGGGCAGCAGGCAATGAACGTGGGAATCCCTCTGCCCAAGTTCATGCTCGACGTTCAGGGACCCTAGGGGGGGCATAGGAGGTGGGGCTTGAACCCAAGGTAGGGCTTAGAAGGTGGGAAATTCTGAAGCTGCTCCAGGTGGTTGGGAGAAGTACGGACCTTTGGACGGGCAGCAGGCAATGAACGCGGATCGCGCTGCCCAAATTCATGCTGGACATTCAGGTACCCAAGGTGGGGCATAGGAGGTGGGGCTTAGAAGGTGGGCCGTTCATTCTACCCAGGTTCAATGATAAAAAACACCTTTCCACTCCCTTAACTTGCCTCCCCAACTCTCCCACTGGCCGTACAGGGAGCACACCACCTCCTCGGCCTGGTGGGCGTGGGCATTCTGCTGCCACTCATCGCAGTTGTCATCTACCTCTCTGCCTCAGCTTCGATCATATCGCACCTTTCCACTCCCCCAACTCGCCTTCCCACCCCCCGTCTCCCCCCACTGGCCGTGCAGGGAGCGTAGCTCCTCCTGGGCCTGGTGGGCGTGGGCATCCTGCTGCCACTCATCGCAGTTGTCATCTACCTTCTCGCGCTCCTCCAAGTGCCCACACTTCCCCCACTTGCCTTTCCACCCACTGCCCCCCAACTCTCAACTCCTGTGCAGGGAGCGTACCTCCTCCTGGGCCTGGTGGGCGTGGGCATTCTGCTGCCGCTCATCGCAGTTGTCATCTACCTCTCGCGCTCCTCCAAGTACACAGGCAACAACGTCATCCAAGACACTCTGCGCAACTTCTACCAGCTCATGAAGCCGTCCCTTGCTCCCAGGTCAGTATAGCTGTCAGGAGTATAGCCCTACCTTCCAGATTAGTATAGCTCTCACATGTCAATACAGATACCCCACTCGCGTTCTTCCAAGTACACGGGCAACAACGTCATTTAAGACACGCTCAAGGAACTTCTACCAGCTTATGAAGCCCTCTCTCGCCCCCAGGTCAGTATAACCCCTACCATGACAGCATGGCCCTTCCAGGTCAATATAGCCACCCCTTAGCGCGCTGTAAACATCTACCTCTCGCGCTCCTCCAAGTACACGGGCAACAACGTCAGTCAGGACACCCTAAGGAACTTCTATCAGCTTATGAAACCCTCTCTCGCCCCTGGGTTAGTAGAGTGTCTAAGGGTGCAGTTCTTACCTGTGTGGTAATACAATGAAGTGTGGTAAGATGAGCTGAGCTGAGATGTTACTGCGCGCTGATCTCTCCGCATGCAAACAGGATGGAGGGAGTTTGTGGGCGACACGCAAGGAAGGTGGTTGGGAACGAACCGGAGGGAGTAGGTGCTGAGGATTTGAGGAAGGAGCAAGGTGGTGGGCAATGTTTGAGTAAGGTAGTTGGGAGGGAACCGATTACATCTGAGGCAATAATTGGCGAGGTTTCAAGTAAGGAGGATTGACGCATTAGCTGGGATAGGATGGTTGGATGATGGTGGGTTGAATTAAGTCCAGCTGGGCTGGCTGGGTTAGCGATCCTGCACCTGGGTTAGCGGGCCTAAAAACGACCCATCACAGTGGGGGCTACTCACAGTGGGATTTCCACAGGCAGGACCTTGGGTGCGTGGCTGTGAGTAGGAGGAAGGCAGCTGGGTAGGTAGAATGGGATCGTATAGGGGAGGCTGTGTTTTGCTTTTTGCTTGTATGCTTCTTGTGTTAGTGGATCTTTTATTTAATTTCTTACCACACGACTCAAGAGGCAGCAAGAGGAAAGGAGGCCAAAGATGGGAAGGAAACGCAGGAGGCAAAGGAGAGAAGGAGAAAGTACGCCCCCCTGAGGCGGAAGGATATACAAAGATCGCGAGAAGCGTCCCTTGCTGCTCCCAGGTCAGTTGTCTTACGGCACAGCGGGGGTCCACACACTCATTCGGTTTGTCTTCTCCGTATGGTGGGATGGGATGGGAGTCTGATAGAGACTCGTTACAGTCTTGTAGTTCCTGGAGTGGATTTTTGAGGCGCCTCAGAAATGTTCTCCATATGGTGGTAGTCTGATTTAGGCTCATCAGAGCCTTGCAGTTTCTGGAGACGAAGGTGGACCTGGAGTGCATGAGCCATGGGTCGGACGAGGGACTGTTTTGAGACGTCTCAAAACACTTCTTCAATCACGTTTCTGGAGACGAAGGTGGACCTAGAGTGCATGAGCCATGGGTCGGACGAGGGAGACGACGTGCTGTATGGCATGTGTGGCATGGGCGATAGCAGTGCTTTTACAGCACGTCTTCTCCCTCTCCCTGCTCCACGCCCCTGCTCCTTTGTGATCTCACTCGTCCCTCTGCCCCTGTTCTTCCACTTCCCTCTGCGCTTGGTCCTTCACAGCAAGGTGATAGACGTGCTCACTAAAGCCATGCAGTTTCTGGACATGAAGGTGCGCGGGTCACACGTGGAGCCCATGCAGCGCGTCCTTCTCCCTCTCAATTTCCTTGCTCCCGCGTGTCCTCTGTTCCTTACTCCCCTTGGTGCTCTCAACTCCCCAGCAAGGTGATAGACATGTTGACCAAGGCTATGGAGTTTCTGGAGATGAAGGTGCGCGGGTCACACGTGGAGTGGAGCCTATGCAGTACGTCTCCTCGCTCGTGCGCTCTGAGCTCAATCTGGCCTGGACTGAACCCCCCTCCCCCTCCCCTTCCCCCGTCCATCCTGCTATGGGTGCACCACAGCAATGTGATCGATGTGCTGACCAAAGCCATGGAATTCCTAGAGATGAAGGTGCGCGGGCTGGTCGTGGAGCCCATGCTCTAGGTGTAAACAGAAGTGTTTGGAGACGTCTCAAAACACTTCTGTTTACACCTAGAGATGAAGGTGCGCGGGCCGGACGTGGAGTAGAGCCCATGCAGCGTGTCCTCCATGCAACTACGTGAAAGAAGGAGTGTTTTCACGTGAGACGTCTCAAAACACTCCTTCTTTCACGTGTTTTGAGACGTCTCAAAACACTCCTTCTTTCACGTGGTGCACGGGCCGGACGTGGAGTGGAGTGGAGCCCATGCAACTCCATGCCCCTGCTCTCCCCCTTTTTCGTTTCCCTGTTTGGTATTTCACAGCAAGGTGATAGACGTGTTGACTGAAGGCAATGTAGTTCCTTGAAATGAAGGTGCGCGGATCGGATCCAGAAAGTCTTCTCCCTCGTGCGCTCTGAGCTCAACCTCAAGGCTCGAACCCACCCCCCTTTTCCCTCTTTTCCCCATCCCCATTCCTCCCTCCCTTGGTGCGACGCAGCAAGGTGATCGATGTGCTCACCAAGGCAATGGAGCTTCTGGAGATGAAGGTGCGCGGGTCGGACGTGGAGTGGAGCCCATGCAGAAAGTCTTCTCCCTCGTGCGCTCTGAGCTCAACCTCGACCCCACCTCCCCTTTCTCCTCTCTCTCCCCTTCCTCATTCCTCCCTCCCTTTGTGCGCCCCCACAGCAAGGTGATAGATGTCCTGACAAAGGCAATGGAGTTCTTAGAAATGAAGGTGCGCGGGTCGGACGTGGAGCCGATGCAGAAAGTCTTCTCCCTCGTGCGCCATGAGCTCAACCTCGACCCCAAGAACCTCAAGCAGGAGACCAAGAAGTTCTGGACTCGCTTCCCCGCTCTCATTAAGGTGATTTGCCTTTGCTGATCTTCGGAAGGTAAGCCTCATCTGAACCTTCAACCCTGAACCCTGACACTTGCAAGCCCAGATTTACTTTTGAGAATTCTGAAAAGTAATTTCCACCCTAAGCCCTGAAATTATTTGCAAGCCCAGAATTTGAACCCTGAATTTTGAGTCGACTCAAAAGCGAATTTGAACCCTGAATTTTGAGCCACCGAACATTGAACATTGGTGTTTGAAGCACGCTGAGCAGACTATCTGTTACCAAAGACTATTTGTCACCAAAGATGTGAGCCAAATCAACCAATGTGAAGCTCACACATTTCCTCCCTGCATCCCTGCCTCCTTCTTTCGCCCTTGTCACTTGCAGGTGGAGCTGCTGCTGCTGGCGCAGCTCACACGGCAGGCAGACTTGGTTCCACCTGAGCTGAGGAAGGACTTCAATACCATTCTCAAGCTCACGCCACGGCTCATGGAGGAGCTTATCAAGGTGCGTTGTGTGGTTGTTTGGCGTTGCTCTTATAAGGCGAACAGGACTCGATGAGGTGCCTGCTTTTCCCCTCCGCCCGTTCCCTCGTATGCCCCCTCTGCGACAAACTTCCTTCTCTCTCTTCCTCTAAGCTATGTAAGTTCCGAGGAGGAACTGTTCCTTCTCCCCTCCGCCCGTTCCTCTCCATGCTTCTACCAAGCCATGCCACTGTTGGATCCGCATTGATGCTTTTCCCCACCCCCCCACCCCCCCACTGTTGGTGTTTGGCCCCAATCTCACATTTTGTACTTGAACTTTTATATCCTAGTTTAGTGTAGTTTGCACTTTGTGTTTGGTTGGGTGTACACCCACATCCCAACCAAACCCAAATGTAATCTCCAAGCAATCTCCAACCCACCAATTGGAGATTGCCTTGGGATTACCCTTGATTCCCTAGGATTGCCTCCTGATTCCCTCCTCATCCCTACCTTGCTCATTCCGGATGTACTTAAAGAGCTTTGAGCTCACTACTATAGTATCGATTCTGAGCTCAAGTTCTGACATGGTATCAGAGCAGCTCAACCGCATACGCGGATCGTGATCCTCTCATCTCTGCGGATACTTGTCCCGCAAACCTCCGGGAAGCCATCGCCAATCTCGTCGCCGTTGATTCGCGACATTCATCGGCGGAATTTCTCCCGCCACATCTTCCTGTCACCATCGACGGAAACTTCTCTGGTAAGCGCATCGTCGGCGCTCTAACCTAACACTCGTTTTCATCAATTCGTCACTCTCGTCACTTCTTCTCCTCGTCGGGCCGCCGCCCGTCGCCCTGCAGCTTCTCGTCGGGCCGCCGCTCGTCGCCCTGCAGCTTCTCTTCGGGCTGCCGCCCGTCGCCCTGCAGCTTCTCGTCGGGCCGCCGCCCGTCGCCCCGCAGCGTCATCTTCGGGCTGCTGCCCGTCGCCCCGCATCTGCACTCCTACCCCCATCCCCCCTCTTTCCCGCAGCTGAATAGGTGCAGCAACGCAGCCGAGCAGCAGCGTAGCCGCGAAGCCGAGCAGCCGTGTAGCCGCGAAGCCGAGCAGCAGCGTAGCCGCGAAGCTGAGGGTGGTGTGTGGGGTGGTGTGTGGGAATAGGATTAGTAGATAGTTGACACTAAATTGGCGTCTCAGTCAAATTCTCCTTCAGAAACCCTAAACCTCAATATTCTCTTTCGTAAACCCTAAACCTCCGGTTCTTCAAAATCTCCTTTGGAAACCCCAAACCTCAAGTTCCTATCGGTGACTTAAGAGCGGCGCTCCGCGCGAGAAGTTAAGGGGTCTCCACCATGGCTTTCTCGTCTTCCACCATGGCGAACCCCATCACCCCGCTCCGCCTTGAAGCCGATGGCTCTAGCTCCAACTTCAAGGCGTGGAGCTACGGAGTTGACAAGCACCTCCTGAGCCGTGACGTGCAGGGCCTTGACCTCAAGGACGTCCTCCTCAACCGTGACAAAGGGAAACAGCCCACTCTTCCCCGTGAACCGACCGAATCTTCAAGTGATGCTGACGTGATGACGTACGAAGAAGCTGTTGAGAAGTACCGGAAGTGGGAGAAGGCCGATGCTGCCATCATCAGCGTCTTCATTGCCTCCACCCCTCCCGAACTTGTCAACACGTTCCACAACTACCCTACCTCCAACGCCATCTGGAAGTATCTCCAGGATCGGTTCATGAACAAGACGGCGGTCGGAGTGGCGATTCTCATCCCCAGCATGTTTCAAGTCCGTCTTGAGGACTGCTCAGGAATGGCTGACTACATCGCCAAGGTGCAGACCATTCATGGTGAACTCAAGGTGCTGGGTATAGTCTTCCCCGAACAAGCCCCTGCAGCCGCCCTTCTTGTTGGTCTCTCCTCGGCATATGAAGTCACGAGGAAGATGCTCCTCACGCTCTCAGCGGAAGACCTCACCTTTGCTAAGGTCTCCACCGCACTCCTCTCTGCCGAGAAAGACTCCACGGCTCAGGCCAAGGCATACGCCATCCGTGCTTCCATGCCCCTAGCAAGTGTTGCAGCGGCCCTTGCCTCGGTGCCTTTCCAGCGCAACCGCTTTCCTCCGTGCACCTACGTCGTCAAGTATGGCAACCGCAAGGGACAAGTGTGTGGTGGCACTAACCACCCCCTTGCCACGTGCTTCAAGAAGAAAGACGACGAGTGGTATGCCATCCACGGGGTTGACAAGAAGCCGCCAAACTGGATGCGCGCTCGTAAGGCCAATCTCGTTGAGGTCCAGGACCCCTCTTCGGCTAGTGCTAGTGTTAGTGCTCCTGTTGATGTGCGTATCTACCTGTTGTTTCCTGGCACTGTCATGATTAATGAAGCCACTTCCCAGTACATGGACTCATCACAGGCACCACAGTACATAGAGTTCACACTCGACAGCGGGGCCACTCACACTGTGCTCAAGGAGACACTCTCCTTCAAACCCTATCCAGCACCTATCCCTCTCTTGGGAGCTGACTCCAGCTTCACCACCCTAGCCAAGGGCACCTCCACAGTCCCATGCCCAGCCTTCCCTTCCGGCACCGTCACTGGCATGTGCGTGCCTTCACTACGCCACAATCTAGTGGCTCAAACAGAAATTCAGAAAGCAGGGCTACGCACCATCTTCTCGGAGAATGAGGACCACTGCGACATCATTGACCCACTCACCAACAAGGTCTTGGCCCGCTTCACCCTCAATAGCAGCGGCCTCTACACGTTACGCGTTCCTCTCCCACAGGTTTCAACCACCCAAGCACAGGCTCCCATCACACCATGCACATGTCGCAGCCTCTCCAACCCGACCATCCTCTATCATCATCGGTTAGGGCACCCAAACTTCCGCACGCTTGCTGACATGGCCTCCAAGAAACTTCTTCTCGGCGTGCCAGCCACACTTCCTCCACCACCTGACTCACCCGCCCCCACGTGCCTTGATTGCACCAAGAGCAAACTGCACCAACAGCCCCACACTGCCTCACCCACAATCGCAGCGGCACCACTGGACCGAGTGCACATGGACGTCTGGGGCCCTGCCCCTGTTCCTGCACGAGGTGGATATCGCTACTTCCTAGTTATCGTGGATGACCACTCACGATACGTCTCTGCTCACCTCCTCCACACTAAGGCTGAGGCTCCAGAGGTCATCATGGCGTGGGTCAAGCAGGCACAGACCACCTTAGACCGCAAGGTCAAGCGCCTTCACTCGGATGGGGGGGGTGAATTTTGCAACGACAAGCTCAAAGCCTTCTGCTCCTCCGAAGGCATCCAGCAAACCTTCACCCTCCCTGACAGCCCTCAACAGAACGGCATAGCTGAGAGCCGCAACCACACCCTAGTGCAGATCACTCGGTGCCTCCTCAGCCACTCCAACGCTCCACACTCTCTCTGGGGATACGCTCTCTACCACGCCGCCCTCCTCTACAACCTTTACCCCCATCCGCACCTTCCCGACACCACTCCAACCACACTCTGGCTCGGGAAAACGCCCACTGCTCGCTCTCTTCGCGTTTGGGGATGCACCGCCTATGTCCTCCTCAACCCTCAGGCTCGACGCCAGAACGGTGGCAAGCTCGGTCCCAAGACTCAAACGTGCATCTACCTTGGGCACAACGCCGACTCACCTGACTACCTCTTCCTCAATCCCTCCACTCAACAGTTGGTCAGGAGCCGCGACGTTGTCTTTGATGAGACCCGCCCATTCTACTCCCCTTCAGGACGGGACCCTCTCCCTGATCCACCCTCCCTCGTGTGGGCAGACTTTGACGCGCCTCCCGACCTCCCGCCTGCTCCTGCCCCCTCACCTCCTCTCTCTCCTGCCATCCCACCATCTCCCTCTGAGGTCTCTGACCCGGCCTCACCGGTGTCTTCGGCAGCTGCTCCGCCCCCCCCCTCACCTTCCTCACTTCCCGCTGCACCGCCCCCTCCGAGCGCACCTATCACCATTGGCGGTCCCACCCTCCGGCCCCACCTCCTCCCCCAGTTCCCCCCACCACAGAGGAACCCGCTCTCCCACAGTCGCCCGAGCTGATCACGTACCGTCGGCGGCCCATTCCCCCACCCAAGCCTCCTAAGTCACCATCTCCGACACCGCCTGCCCCACCCTCCTCACCGGTGGCTCATGGCACCCGCTCCCATCGCGCTGCTCTTCCACTCGCAATGGTTCTTCGATACACAACGATCACACCGCCTCCTCCTGCTAGGGGGGATGTGCCCTCTACCCTTCTAGAAGACAGGCATGAGGAGCTGTGTGATCTCCATGCAGTCATTCCTCAGCTCTCACACATCTTCCCCGATATCACTGGCTCACCCTCCCTCAACCTCGCGGAGAACCCGACCATCCCTATCCCTCTCACCATCCAAGAGGCTCTCTCAGGCCCTCATGCTGCCGAATGGCGTGCTGCCATGGACGCGGAGATTGCAGCATTCACTCGCAACCACTCCTTCGACGACGAGACTCCACCTCCAGGAGTCAACATCGTCGGGGGCAAGTGGTTGTTCCGTGTAAAACAGCTCCCAGACGAGGCACCGGTGTTCAAAGCGCGTTACGTAGCCAAGGGCTTCACCCAGCAGCGGTACCGCGACTTCGACCTAATCTTCTCCCCCACATCCAAACCTCCCACCATTCGAACGCTCATGGATGTTGCAGCTCGAGAAGACTTTGAGATCAAATCCATGGATGCCTCCTCCGCCTTCCTACAAGGACGTCTCAAGGAGACAGTGTTCATGGACAGACCAGAAGGCTTCCCAGGAGAATTCCCTCCCAACACTGTCTGGAAGCTGAATCGCCCTGTCTACGGCCTTAAACAAGCCCCTCGCGAATGGCACATCAAGGTGAAAGAAGTCCTCCTCTCCCTGGACTTCCACCCCTCAACTGCTGACCCGACTCTCTTCATCCGTCGTCATTCTGAGCCATTCTACATCCTAGTCTACGTGGATGATTTTATCCTCGTTGCCAAGGACTCGGCCCAAATGACCTCAGTCCAGGCAGCCCTGAGCAATGCCCTCCAGATGAAAGACCTCGGTGACCTCAAGCACTACCTGGGAATGGAGATCACTCGTGATCGCAAGGCTCGCACCATCTCACTCTCCCAGGAGTTCTACATCGACAATGTGCTCAAGCGGTTTGAGATGGAGCTGTGCACACCTGTTGCCACCCCGCTGCCGCTGCAACACCTCCTTACAGCTCCTGCTGTACCCACACCAGAGGCCTGCTCTGAGCCATACCCGGAACTTGTTGGGTCCCTCATGTACGCCATGATGTGCACCCGACCGGACTTGGCCTACCCAGTCAGTGTTCTCTCTCGTTACGTGGCCCCGGGTCGCTTCACTAATCTTCATTGGAAGGCAGCAAAGCGGGTGCTGCGCTATCTTAAGGGCACAAAGTCCCACGTTCTCACACTCGGTGGGCTCTCCCCTCCTCGCCTGGAAGGTTACACAGACTCCTCCTGGGCTGATGACCAGGCCGACCGACGCTCCTCTCAGGGGTACTGCTTCACCCTCGGGAGCGGAACTGTCAGTTGGCGCTCCACCAGGTCGTCTGCAGTCTCCCTCTCCTCCTGTGAGGCGGAGCTCTACGCAGGCACCATGGCTGCTCAGGAGGCCCGTTGGCTCACCTTCCTACTCCAGGAGCTTAGCTTCCCTCAGTCAGCCCCCACCCTCTGGTGTGACAACCAGAGTACCATCCACATCTCTCAAGACCCTGTGTATCACACCCGCACCAAGCATATTGAACTTCGGCACTTCTTCATTCGTCACCTTGTGCAACAAGAGCAGCTGAAGGTGGAATACGTGGCATCTGACTGCAACCTGGCTGACCTGTTCACCAAGCCCCTTGGGAAGGTTCCCCACCATCGTCTCCTTGGCGCCATGGGGCTCTGCGCTCCTCCCTCTCCGCCATGAGTTCGATTGACGCCTCAGGGGGGGTGTTGGTGTTAGGCCCCAATCTCACATTTTGTACTTGAACTTTTATATCCTAGTTTAGTGTAGTTTGCACTTTGTGTTTGGTTGGGTGTACACCCACATCCCAACCAAACCCAAATGTAATCTCCAAGCAATCTCCAACCCACCAATTGGAGATTGCCTTGGGATTACCCTTGATTCCCTAGGATTGCCTCCTGATTCCCTCCTCATCCCTACCTTGCTCATTCCGGATGTACTTAAAGAGCTTTGAGCTCACTACTATAGTATCGATTCTAAGCTCAAGTTCTGACACCCACCCCCCCACCCCCCCACCCCCCCACCCCCCCACCCCCCCCACCCCCCCCACCCCCCCACCCCCCCACCCCCCCACCCCCCCACCCCCCCACCCCCCCACCCCCCCACCCCCCCACCCCCCCACCCCCCCCACCCCCCCACCCCCCCACCCCCCCACCCCCCACCCCCCCACCCCCCCACCCCCCACCCCCCCACCCCTCAACCCCCGGCCAGCCCTCTCTTTCCTTCGCCACGTGCTCTCCTCCTCTTTCCTGCCCCACAGATCTCTCTGTACCCTCGTCCTCCTGTGGGGCATGCCTGGTTGCGGCCAGCAGTGGGGGCCATCGAGCTCTCCCAGAGATTCTATCAGGCTGTGCCGCTGTCGGCTCACATCCCCAGTATTTTCCATGTGGCTCCGTTTGTTGTGCCACCCCACCACCCCACCCCTCCCCAGATCTATCTCTACCCTCGTCCCCCTGTGGGCTACGCCTGGTTGCGGCCAGCAGTGGGAGCAATCGAGCTCCCAGAGCTTCTATCAGGCCGTGCCTTGGTCTACTCACCACCAATACTTCCCCTTCCGCTCTGCCTGTCATCCCTCCATCTACATCTCACCCAACCCTGCGTTTTTCCACAGATCTCTCTCTACCCTCGCCCCCCAGTTGGCTACGCCTGGTTGCGGCCAGCAGTGGGAGCAATCGAGCTCTCTCAGAGCTTCTATCAGGCCGTGCCGCTGTCGGCCCGCAAGCAGACGGACAAGGGGGGCAGTGCGGAGGGCATTGCTGCTCTGCTGCAGCTGCCGCACGTGGACGAGGGGGTGGTGAAGAAGCTTACTAGAAAGGTGAGCTGCTGTGTGGGCAGGTGAGGAGTGGTGTGGGCAGGTGAGGAGTGGTGTGGGAAGGTGAGGAACAGTGTGGGAAGGTGGGGTGTTAGTGCTGAAAGCCTGGAAGGAGGGCATTGCTGCGCTGCTGCAGCTGCCGCATGTGGACGAGGAGGTGGTGAAGAAACCCATGAGCAAGGTGAGAAGCGGTGTGGGCAGGTGAGGAGGGGTGTGAGAGGGTGGGAGATGCTGACTGAGGAAGTCCAAACCGTCCTGCTCACCAGTATTGAGTGTCTGACTGCAGCAGAAGCGTGTTTTGAGACGTCTCAAAACTCACCAGTATGGAGTGTCTGACTGCAGCAGAAGCGAGTGATGCGGAGACCACCCGGAGCACCATGCCTGAGATGGTCGTCAACATTCCCTTCCCCTCTCCCTCCTTTTTCTCCCCTCGTCATGCACCAGAAGCTGAAGAATTTCCAGGAGCTCAGGGAAATGACAGAGGAGGCCCGCACCGACCTGCTCACCACAGTGGGAGGACTCAGCACATCAGAAGCGAGCGACGTGGAGGTGCTGGTCCACACTGCCTTTCCTTTTTCCTCCTTTCCCCTCCCCTTGTCCAACAACAGAAGCTTAAGAACCTCCAGGAGCTCAGGGAACTAAGCGAAGAGGCTCGCACCGACCTGCTCACCACAGTGGGGGGTCTCAGCCCTGCAGAAGCCAGTGATGTGGAGGCGACTCTGAGCACCATACCTGAGATGCTGGTGGACGCGGCGTGCATCACGCAGGGCGCAGACGACGGCATTCAGGAGGGGGACGTCGTCACCCTCCGCATCTGGCTCACCCTCCGCCGCGGCAACGGGCATGTAGTCTCCCACCCCCACATGCCGCACTTTCCCTACCGAAAAGACGAGGCCTTCTGGCTGATGCTGGCCGACCAAGCCGGGAACTCCGTCTGGCTCTCCCAGCGGGTGACTTTTCTGGATGAGACCGCGGCGATTCGGGCGGCGGCGGATTATACGAGAGAGACGGTGGAAGCGGAGGGGTTTGATGATGCGGAGGTGGCGAGGGAGGTGAAGGAGGCAGTTGAGAGGGTGAAGGGCGGCGCGCGGCTGGTGATTGGGAAGTTTCAGGCGCCGGCTGAAGGGGTGTATGCGCTGACTGTCATGGTGATGAGCGACGTTTGGATTGGGTGTGACAAGAAGGTTCCTCTCAAGATCAAGGTGCGTGTATTTTCGAAACCTTTAAACCTAACCATGGGATGGGATGGTGTGGCGCTGCTGGTGATTGGGAAGTTTCAGTCGCCGGCTGAAGGGGTGTATGGGCTGACTGTCATGGTGATGAGCGACGTTTGGATCAGGTGTGACAAGAAGGTTCCTCTCAAGGTCAAGGTGCGTGTATTTTCGAAACCTTTAAACCTAACCATGGGATGGGATGGTGTGGCGCTGCTGGTGATTGGGAAGTTTTAGTCGCCGGCTGAAGGGGTGTATGCGCTGACTGTGATGGTGATGAGTGACGTTTGGATCGGGTGTGATAAGAATGTCGCTTTGAAGATCAAGGTGAGTGTACTTTTGAAACATTGAAACCCACTCATGGCATGGGATTGCATGGAAGTGTTGGTGATTGAGAAGGTTCAGGCGCTGGGTGAAAGGGTGTATGGTTGGTAATTGGGTTGGTAATTGGGTTGGGAATTGGGTTGGGAATTGATCCTTATTCAAGCGTGAGGCGTGGGTGCCTGCTGAAGGGGTGTATGCGCTGACTGTGATGCTGATCAGTGACGTGTGGATCGGGTGTAATAAGAAAGTCCCTCTAAAGATCAAGGTATGTGTGGTGTGGGGTGGGATGGGATGGGATGGGATGGGATGGGATGGGATGGGATGGGATGGGATGGGATGGGATGGGATGGGATGGGATAGGGTGAGAACAAGGGCTGGAACATGTGGGGCAGTGGTGATTTTGGAAGGGTTCAGAGAGAGCGACAAGGTGTTGTGTACGGTTCTCTCTCCTCCCCACTCTCTCCCTCGCCGCTCCCTCTTTTTCCTCCCCTTCACACCCTTTAGGTGGGCAAGAGAACACGGGCCGGAACAAGGGGGGCAGTGGTACCTTCAGAAGGGGCTGGGGAGAGTGACGAGGAGGGAGAGGAGGAGGAGGGAGAAGGGGAGGAGGAGGAGGGGTATGATGAGGATGATGACTACATGAGCGAGTATAGTGAGGATGAGGAGGAAGAGGGGGAGGGGGAGGGGAAGAAAGGAGGGGAGGGTGATAAAACGGAGGGCTCGGATGGCAGTGGAGAGGAGGATGAATCTGAGCCGTTGATAGATGGCAAGAAGAAATGAGAGGTCATGCCAGAACTCATCTCTGGTTGCACGGTTGCATTCTTTGCTCAACAACTCCGACCTCAATTCATTTTCTGTAGGCTTATTTTAGTGCACCTCGTTGATATTTATGCATCGCATACCGTACATTTCCGTTTTCTAATAATGTCGGTGAAGTACTCATAAAAAAGCTGGCAATGCAAGCACAGAGAAAGCCACCTGCATTGCGTACAAAAATGGTTTCACAGGGCACCTGCCGCTTCCTACTCACCCACACTGAGCTTTTTTAGTAAGCCGCACAATTCCCACCGTAAACGCATCACGTCTCACTTAATACACATCCCACCGTAACAATGAAACGAAACACATCACTTGCGCTTTCGCTTGCCCTTGCCTCTCCTGCTCGTCCTCCCGGAATCCTGTGGCGTGGCAGATATGGTGTGTGTGGGTAGAAACATTTTCACTTGTTTAGGTGTGTGTGTGTGTGTGGAAGTAAAGGAAGCAGGTGGCACTGAACCCCCGTAGCAATGTGGAACACCACAAGGCAACAGGCAGCGAAAAATCTGGAACAGCAGTGTGACACTGAACCCCCGTAGCCATCCCCACTGTGAACCCCATTGTGAACCCTGCAGTGAAACAAGGTCAGCCAGCATACCATATTGCATGACAACCAACGAGCTCAAGTGATCGTCCCTTAGGACCTGCAGTGCAAAGGTGTGTCAACTCACGACTTACCCTGAGGTGTTGACGATAGGCAATGCGGCCGTAAAGGGTCTTCCCTGATGCTGTCACATACACCTGCAGCAGGCACACATGGGCAGGGTGGGAGGGACACACAGACGGATAAGATATCTTAGGTGCCTCAGACCACCGCTGTTACCAGCAGCACCCCTTCCCATACAACCACCACCGCCCCCACCACCCCTTCACGTAGGTTTCTTCTTATTAAGCTTCTCAAAAAGATACCTATAGCAAGGTGAGAACAGCTCACCTTCTTGCTGCCCTCTGCTACCCAGTGACCGCCGCTGCTACCGGCAACACCCCTTCCTATACCCGCCACCGCTGCTGCCACCAGCAGAGGTTATGCAATATTGGGAGCAGAGACAGTGCAGATAACTCACCTTCTTGCCGCCCTCTGCTACCCAGTGACCGCCGCTGCTGCTAGCAGCAGCACCCCTTCCTATACCTATATCCACCACTGCTGCTGCCATCACCACCCCTTCCAGAAGGTATTTTTCTCGAATTCTCAAAACACACCTAAAACAAAGTGTGAGACAGCTCACCTTCTTGCCACCCTCTGCCACCCAGTGACCACCACTGCTACCAGCAACACCCCTTCCCGTAACACCACCACCACTGCTGCCACCACCACCACCACCAGCCCTGGAAGCAACAGCACCACCGCCACCACCACTCCCTCTCCTCCTCCCACTGCCCCCTTGCTGCTGGGAAAGCTGCTGCTGCCGTCCAAATCCCTCCCCTCCCATCCTCCCCCCATTCCTAGCAGCGCTCCCAGCACCACCAGCACCAGCAGGCTGCTGCGGGCACATGTAGTGAGGTGCATTTTGAGGCGCCTCAAAATGCACCTTCCTAGCAGCGCTCCCAGCAGCACCAACACCAGCAGGCTGCTGCGGGCATGGAAACCCGGAACCCCCGACCTCATAGCAGCCATTCTCATTCTCATTCTCATTTCCATGCGCTTGAGAAAAAGGGCGGCCTCCTCTGTCAGTATCTGCCCCGGAGGGAGTTTCGGAGCCAAACTGGCATCGGTAGTCGATGAAAACAGGGTCACCGTTGGCATCGCACCCCCGCTCCTCCAGCCACCCCACCAGCTGCAGGTGCGGCAGGCGCCGCTGCAGCAGCTGCCTCGTAGCCTCCGACAGCGTGGGTGTTGTTGCCGGAGTCTGTGTTGCGGGTGGCTGATGCATGGAACTTGACGGCACAGGTGTTGCTGCCGGGGTCTGCCTTGGGGGCTGTTGTGTGGCGCCTTGCCTTGGCATGACGTGGGACAAAACAGGGGTCTGTGTTGAAAGCGGGTGTTGCTTCAACGCGTCAGTGAAACGACCTGGTAGTTGAGAATTCTCAAAAACCAGCTCGTGTTGCAACGCGTCAGTGAAACGACCTGGCGGTTGAATCACTGAGCTCCGTCTCTGGGTGTAGCCAGTTCCCACCGCCCCCTCACACACATCTGCTGCCCATCCCTCATCGTCTCCATCCAAGAACAGCCGCCGCCGCAACCCCTCCACCTCTCCACACCTCTCCTCTCTCCCCTCACCCTCCTCTCCTCTCTCACCCGCCTCCCCTTCCTCTCGCCCCTCCGGAGGCGTGTCCTCTATATCTTCTACATCTATCATGTTTCTCACACCCACCATCTCAGTATCATCCTCAATATCATCATCCATCCGCAACCACGTCTGAGGTAGTCTAGGCATCGCTGGGCAGGACATGGGGCGCTTAGACGGTACTGGAGCAGGCATTAACGGGGCTGCAGGGGAACGCCCTACACAGCTGGATGAGCGGTGACAGCTTGCTGTTGCTGCAAACCCAGGTGCTGTTGTCTTTGATAATGGTGGGTTGTCTGTTGCTGCTGCTGCGGCTGCTGTTGCTGTGTCTGCTCGTCGCCTGGGTGATGGTGTGGCTGCTGCTAATGATGGTGCTGATGGTGAGAGCAGCATCGGAGAAGGCGAGCTGCACACAAACCCCATGCCCGCTTTCAAAGGCGCCTCTGACTGGCTCCCCTCCCCCAGTTCCTTCCGTCTACCCTCCTTCGTTTCCTCCTCCTTCCTTCTCTCCTCCTTCCATCGTTCCTCCTCCCTTCTCTCCTCCTTGCTCTCTCCCGCCCTGCCCCTTACCTCTACAGCCTTTCGCAGCCTTTTAAACCTCCTCCCTCCGTCTCTCTCCGCACTTGCAGCAGCACCACCAGCACTACCAGCAACATCAGCATGAGCCCCAGACACCTCAACCTTCACCTTCTTACCACTCTCAACCCTCCCATAAACACCATCTCCAAGGGCTCTCTCACTCCGTTCATCTTCACGATACCTCTCGCCGTCCCATCCCACTGCCACTCGCTGCTCAACTGCCCCCTGCTTCCCTTCCCAGGCTTCCCTCTTTGCCAACCCTTCGTCATCCCCCACTGTGCTCTCCATCTTTCTATGACTCCGCTCAAAAACTCTCTCTGCTGCTCCTTGTTGCCCGTCCCTCTCTGTCATGCATTGCCCATCCCCCAACGCGCCCTCTTCCCCATCCCACCCCTCCAGCCCCAACGAGAAACTGGGTGCGTCCAAACCCTGTGACGCCTGAAATCCTGATTCCTGTGTCCCCGATTCCTCCGGCGCCTCAAAAGCCGTCTCATGCTTCACGCCCATCTTTGGAGGCGCCTCAGGATTCAAGGAGAAGCTGGGAGCGTCCAGGCCCTGTGAGGGGGAGAAGTTCATCCCATCAAGTTCTGCCTGAATCTCAGAGGGCTGCACGAGAGGGGGGGACTTTGGAGGCGCCTCAGGATGAAACGAGAGGCTGGGAGCGTCCACTCCCTGTGAGGGGAGGAAGTTCATCCTCGCATCAGGTTCCATGTGAAGCTCGGAAGGCTGCACGTGGAGGGAGAAGGACGGCGGTTCAAAGTCAAACTCGCCCATCGCCATCCCCTCCCCCTCCTCCAAGGCCTCCGCTTCGTCCTGTACACACCGTGCGTCCTCATCTGCTAATACTTTCTCCTCCGCCCCGCTTAGATTCTCCTCTTCCCTTCCTCCATTTGCACACTCTCCTCTCTCCTCCTCTCCTCTACCCTCCCCTCCTTTCCCCACCTCTCCTCTACCCTCCTCTCCTCTCCCGACTCCTCTCCCCTCACTTCTCCCCTCTCTACTCCCCGCAAAACCTGACTGCACCATCTCGCTACTGCCTCCTGCCTTCTCCCTTCCTTCCCCCTCCTCATGCCCCACCTCTTCGCGTCTTCTCACTTCTCCTCCCTTCTTCCCTTTCCCCCGCCCTTCGCTTCCCTCTCTTTCCTGCTCTTCCTCTACCCTTATCCTTCCGCCCCCGCCTTTGTCTTCCTCTTGTGAATCTGAAAGAATCTCCAACCCATCCACCTTTCTCCTCCCTCCTTCCCTTGCACTTTCCATAACAATTTCGACCGTGGACTGCTCAATCAAGGACTGCCACGTGGCTTCGTCGTCAGGCTGAGTCATCATGGAGTCGTCACTGTCAGCATCCCTGCCATCATGGTCAGCATCCCTGCCATCATTGTCAGCATCCCTGCCATCATTGTCAGCATCCCTGCCATCATTGTCAGCATCCCTGCCATCATTGTCAGCATCCCTGCCATCATTGTCAGCATCCCTGCCATCATTGTCAGCATCCCTGCCATCATTGTCAGCATCCCTGCCATCATTGTCAGCATCCCTGTCATCATTGTCAGCATCCCTGTCATCATTGTCAGCATCCCTGTCATCATCGTTCCCACCCATCGTTCTGTCTTGTTCCTCTCTTCCTGCCCCCTCCTCCCTTTCAACTGATTCTTGTACTCCGATATTCCCTCTTCTCTCCTCCCCCATCCACTTTCCTGCCTCCTGCTCCTCCTCCTCCTCGTTACCTATCACACGTCTCCTCTTCCTCCTCCCTCCACACTCTCTCACGTGCCGCTCCCTTAACCCCTCAAGTTCACGCTCATCCTGCTCTTCCTCCTCTGCCTCCTTCTCTCTCCCCTCCACCTCCCCCCCTTCCTCACCTGCCTCTTCCTCCTTTTCCTCCTCATTTTCCACCGCTTCCTCCTCTCCCTCCTCTGCCTCCACTCCCTCCTCTTCCCCGTCCTCATCCAACCAATCACCATCACCAGCAGCATCACCATCGCCATCACCATCATCAGCACAACCACCATCGCCATCGCCATCACCATCACCACCATTGTCATTACCATCATCATCGGACCAATCAGCAATGGTTTTGATCCTCCTCCTCCTCACCACAGCAGGTATCCCACACCGCCATGCAGTCGGGTGAAACACCGTGCCACTCCCAAACCCCCCTCTACCATCACTTCCTAAGTCCCCTCTATTGTCACTCCCGAACCCGCCTCTAGTATCACTCCCCAGTGTAGTCACATCCAACCCTCTCAAACCCCCAAATGTCCCAATTTCACTGACGCTCCTCCACGCCCTCTCTCCCACACTCCCCATACCCACACTCGCTCCCTCTCTCCCCCTCACTCCGCCACCAATCCCCGCAACCCTTCTCTCTCCAACACACTCTCCTCCTTCTCCTCTGAAACCTCCCCCGCTTACCCCCTTTCCCTCACTTGTCCCCCCTTTTCCTCCCCTTCCCGCTGTGCCACCCTCTCCACCTCCCCCCCCTCCACCTATGCCTGCCACTGGATGTGCTTGTCTTTTCTGCTGCCAGCTGGACCAGATCGGCTGTTGCACAGAAAACGACAAACGAGGCTTCTGCGGAACGCTATGCTTTCCCTTGAACAGCCTCTTTCTCGTTGGGTCCTGACGTGGCGGCTCGGCCATTTTGGACACGTCATCCTGACTCGGCACCAAATCGAGCTCAATCACCTCCGCCGTAACTCCTAAGGTCACATCGTCTAATGTCACACCTCCTGAAGTTGCACCTTGCGTTTTTGCTGATCCTCCCACTGCTCCTTCATCAGTCACATCACATACAGTCACACCTTCTCTAGTCACAAATTCGTGGTCAGATTTCTCTGATGATGGTGCTGCTGTTACCCCATCCGCTCCATGCGAATCCCATCTGAACCGAGCGGACGGCTGAGATGGAGCCTGCGAAGCTGATGGCTGTGATGGATCTGGCTGCGACGGACTGGGCGAGACCTGTTGCGAAGATGTTACGGGTTCCTGCGACAAATAACGCGACAGTGGTGCCTGAATCTTGCGACGGGATTGGCTAAGCGGGAGAGGCCTCGAGCTATTTCTGGACTTGCCACGTGGCGGCATTGTATAGGCGGTAAATCCAAGACCGCTGATGAAAACCCTGGCCTCTTCTTTGCTGTCGACGAAAGCGGTTTTGCAAACACGAGAAATTTAAAGTATAGGATACCGTAAGTCAATAGCGCCTTATATTACGCGAGTCTGAGGTATCGCGAATTGGATCATCTGGGCAACGCGAGGCAGAGTCGAAAAAGCCACGGCTGGAACTGAAACCCTAACAAATACCTGCTCACTCAAGTCAAAGCCACCCTACGCTCGGTCAAAGCACTAACCGGAGCAGGCACAACAATCTCAACGGTCAATTATAAGACTGGTCTCAACCCAGACTGCCCAGTCGAATGGCGCTGCAACTATGAGCCAAGCAACCTCAAGTTGCGAGGCGTCAAGTTGACGACGACTCGCCGTTATTCTCGACAATTTCGGGGCGTGTGCGGGACAGAATCGAACAGATTCAAATATTCGAATTGGGCGTACACTCCCACACTACTGTGCATTTTTTTGCAAAATTGGCATTGTACAGTTATGCTGCTTTTACTGTGGCTTGATCACAAATTGCTTATGTTGTGTTGTGTGTAGTTCAGCTTTGCCGAGCCTTTGACAGCAGCAACAGATGACAATAAAGAAAGGTTTTCAACCAACCAAAAGCAGATTTGCCTTGACCATGGTTCTGCACATCTTATTCTCTGCCTCACATACTAGCTCATTCTTACAGTTGGTGCATGTGCCTCTTATTTCCGCCAACCTAGCCCCTCCACTCCCTAGGCTTCATAGGGAGCTTCGAGTCCCGCCGTGGTTCCTAGATCCCGCCTAACTACCAGCGACTTTGCACTTGGCATTGAATCCGACACTTGGTTTGCTCACGCTAGCACTCGTGGCACAGCCAGTCTATTCCTATGCCAGAAGCGTACTGGGACGATCTTAGTATTAGTGCTAATTAGGTTGAGAAGCAGATCATTTCGACGTTTAGATATTTCGATACTCCACCACTCCGATTTTGTGCATGTTCGACTGCATTTCGAGGGCTTTCTTTAGTGAATCTGTCTGCTGCCTGGCCGCTGTACTGAAGTCATAGGAACCGTCAGGTTCAGGAAACGCAACTTGATTGTCGGCGCCAGTAGCTTTCTCCGGTTCCCGAACCAAATTTATCGTTGTTCTCTTCCTAGTAACCAACGGTTTGGATTCAGTTCTGGTAGTTATCTTCGGATTAAAGCCGAGCGGGTACAGAGATTTAGAGGAAGGATTCTGTCTCGTTATCGTTTAAAGCCGTTACAATAGTCGTCGCGGAATTCCGTACCTTTCCCGTGACTTGGAACATTCCGTACGCGTTTTAAGGCTGAGGCGGCTCGACGGAGGAGAGGGAAACGTCGCGGACTACACACTTCTGTATCGAATTGGCGTATATCGAATCAGCTTGCCAGAATGAGTGTACGTGCCATTTAATCCACGCAAGCTGATATCCTTCTTTCCCTGTTCGCCCTTTCCTCCCCTTTCCCCTCCCTCCCCATTTAATCCGCTTCTCTCCTTCCTTCTCCCCTTTTTCCTGCTCCCCCTTCCCTCCTCGCAAACTTCACTTTTCTGTCGTTAAAGTCTTCCGTGAGCTGTCTGAATCGGCAGCAGGAGTCAGTGCAGCGATTCGTGCCTATTTTATGCGTAAAGTCTCTGCCTGTGTTTCTTATGCCGTACCAAATATTTGCGCCCCAGATTCCTCTACTTCTCTCCTTCTAACCGTTTACATCGGCAGCAGAAGGAATTGGTGCAGTGCAGCAAGGCGTTGCATTTCCCGTTGTCCCCACCCGTGTCATGTCATGTGACAGTTGCATATCCCGCGCATCCCCCCTTTTCCTCGTGTTCCCTCATCCGACCCTACCCCGCACCCCTCTCCCGCTCTCCCCTCTCCATCTCACCCCCCTCCTCAGAGCCGTCTGAATCGGCAGCAGAAGGAGGCAGTACAACAATTCGTGGCGATCACAGGCACGAGGTGAGAATGGCATAGGCATGTGCACAGCACAGACGCGTGGTGAGCACAGCACAGGCACGTGGTGAGCACAGCACAGGCACGTGGTGAGCACAGCACAGGCACGTGGTGAGCATGAAGGTCTGAGCGATGAACGCTGCCACATTCCCCTTCCAGCGACCTCGGGGCACTAGCGGCCCTGAGCCCGAGCGAGTGGAACATGGAGCTCGCGTTCGACCTCTACTCCTCCTCCACCACCTCCACCTGGTTTTGAGGCGCCTCAAAACGAGTGGAACATGGAGCTCGCGTTCGACCTCTACTCCTCCTCCGCCTCGGGTCTTCTCATCCCCTTCTCCCTCCCTCCTTCCCTTCCCCTTCACCATCCCCTTCTCAGCAACCTCGGGGCACTAGCGGCCCTGAGCCCGAGCGAGTGGAAGATGGAGCTCGCGTTCGATCTCTACTCCTCCTCCTCCACATCCACCTCGTTTTGAGGCGCCTCAAAACGAGCGGAACATGGAGCTCGCGTTCGACCTCTACTCCTCCTCCTCCACATCCACCTCGGGCCCTCTCTTCTTCTCTTCCTTCGCGCCCTGCCTCCCTCCCCTCGCTCCCTTTTCTCCCAGTGACCGGGGGGCACTAGCAGCTCTGAGGGCGAGCGAGTGGAACATGGAGCTGGCGTTCGACCTCTTTTACTCCTCCTCCACCTCGGGTCTTCTCATCCCCTTCTCCCTCATCTCCCTCCCTCCTTCCCTTCCCCTTCACCATCCCCTTCTCAGCAACCGAGGGGCATTAGCGGCTCTGCGAGCGAGCGAGTGGAACATGGAGCTCGCATTCGATCTCTTCTACTCCTCCTCCACCTTCCATTCCCTCCCTCCCTCCCTCCCCCCCCCGCCCTCCCTCCCCTCCCCCCTCGCCCCCTCAGCGATCGGGGAGCATTAGCGGCCCTGCGAGCCAGCGAGTGGAACATGGAGCTCGCCTTCGATCTCTTCTACTCCTCCTCCACCTCAACTTGTGCTCATTGTCCCTCCACTCCGCACATTCACTCCACACCCCCACACTCCCATACTCCCCCCCCCACAGCGACAGGGGGGCACTAGCGGCCCTGCGGGCGAGCGAGTGGAACATGGAGCTCGCCTTCGATCTCTTCTACTCCTCATCACTGCACTTGTTCTCACTGACCCTCCTTCCATTCGCGTTGCAGCGATCGGGGTGCACTAGCGGCCCTGCGAGCGAGCGAGTGGAACATGGAGCTGGCGTTCGACCTCTTCTACTCCTCTCAAGCTCGGCCCATTATTCCCTCCCCTTCTTCTCCCAGCGACCGGGGGGCACTGGCGGCCCTGCGGGCGAGCGAGTGGAACATGGAGCTCGCCTTCGACCTCTTCTACTCCTCCTCCACCTCGGGTCAGCAGCTGAGGGCGTTGGGGCGCTCTGCTGCTCCTAAAGTGGACCCTCGGCAGCTGGAGCATCTGTTTCTCAGATACAAAGGTGGGGTAGTGCAGAGTTGTGCGAGGGTAGGTGCAGTGCAGTGGAAGGGTGTTTTGAGACGTCTCAAAATAATGCAGAGTTGTGCGAGGGTAGGTGCAGTGCAGTGGAAGGGTGTTTTGAGACGTCTCAGAATAATGCAGAGTTGTGCGAGGGTAGGTGCAGTGCAGTGGAAGGGTGTTTTGAGACGTCTCAGAATAATGCGGAGTTGTGCGAGGGTAGGTGCAATGCAGTGCAGTGCAGTGCAGTGCAGTGGAAGGGGTTGGGAAGGTATGTATTTGCCCCTCGTTCCTGCCTCCCTTCCCTCTCCTGTTCCCCGCCAGTTTCCTGTGTCCCCCTGCATCAGTCGTTCATGCCGGCATGAGTTTCGTGGTCGGATGTCATCCCCTGTATAAGTTGATTCAATACTCTTCCTGCTCCCTACTGCTGCTGTGCTGTTTCCCTGCCTCAGACCCTCACTGCGATCTAATTCTCGTGGATGGCGTTTCAAAGCTCTGTGAAGACCTCGAGGTGTGTGTATAAGCTTTGAGAGGATTTCTTTTCTCCTCTCTTCTTTCCAGACCTTTGTCTTTTGTTCACTCCTTCCAATCCCTACTGTGGCCACAAGGTCTCAGATTTCACGTATTCTCCCTCCTGCTCTTAGGGTCTCCCTTTTCCTCTCCCCCCCCTCTCCCCCACCATTCACCTCCCTCTTTTCTTTCCATTGTTCTTTTTCACTTTTAGAATTGGAACGATTTCGAGGCCCCTCAATCCACCCCTTCCCCCTCCCCACACACCCTTTCTTTCCCTCTCTCTTTCCATGGTTTCTTTCCCTTGTGGGCGGCAGGTGGATCCTCAAGACATTGTCATGGTAAGCCCAGGCTATGCTGCACAGCGGCAGGCGCTCATATAGGCATCCGTTCTCGCTTATGCGACTATGCATGCACATGCATCTTATGCACGCAAGTCATATTTTCGTGTGTTGCATACACTGCATGCATCATCCATGCATGCATCGTACGCCGCACAGACTGGCCCCTGCGGCCACCACCCCATTCCACCGCATTTCATCCCATGCCAACCCATGCCAACCCATGCCAACCCATGCCAACCCATGCCATATCATGCCA